CCACGAGGTGCAGGTGGGATACCATCCAACCGGAAGCTGCCGAGAGACTTGTTGTCCCTCACAAATTCTCTCTCACCCTGAAGAACATTAATCTCCACACTTGTCTGGCCATCAGCAGCTGTAGAGAACACCTCCGACTTTGAAGTAGGCAGGGTGGTGTTTCTTGGGATGATCTTCGTCATGACTCCACCCAGGGTTTCCAAACCCAGCGACAATGGGGTTACATCCAAGAGCACAATGTCACTGACATCTCCAGCCAACACACCAGCCTAGAATAAAAAACAGTATGAAGTTAACATCTATCACATGCAAGCAATACAAAACAATATCAATCCCCTAAAATCATCTTCAAAAGCGTTGGTTCAGTTATCCAACTGATTTTTCCACATGAAAATTTAAAAACCATGGAGTGAACTAACAAGTTATTAACCGCAAACTCACCTGAACTGCAGCACCCAAAGCAACAACTTCATCGGGATTGACTGTAACATTAGGCTCCTTCCCGGTCAGCTTCTTCACAAGCTCTTGAACAGCAGGGATACGTGTCGACCCACCAACAAGGATCACTTCATCAAGATCCTTGAAGGAGAGTTTTGCATCCCTCAAGGCATTTTCCACTGGTGTTTTAAGCCTGATTAGATAATTTCAGGTAAGAGAAATTAGACTTTAAACTAAATCCACAGTGTTTTGTTTTTCATAAACAGTGGATGCAAAGAATAGATTCAAAACATAATAATTGTCATCATAGTTCAACACAAATTAGATACCTGTCAAGGAGATCTGAGCAAAGCTCCTCAAACTTAGCCCTGGTAATGGTGGTTTCGATGTGTTTGGGGCCGTCAGCAGTGGCTGTAATGAAAGGCAAACTGCAGGAAACCAAACATTGTCAGTGGAAACCCAGAAGCTTTGTGCATGGCAGGAAAAAAAAGAATTTAAAGACAATTCCTACGGTATATTTAACATACCTAATGTTGGTTTGAGTCAAAGATGACAACTCCATTTTCGCTTTCTCAGCTGTCTCAGTTAGCCTCTGAAGAGCTTGTTTGTCCTTCAACAGGTCTATTCCTTCATCCCGTTTGAACGCGGCAGCTAGCCAATCAACAATCCTCTGTGCACATGTTGTAATAGTTAAGTATCAATGTTTATCAACTCAGATTTTCCACCAAATAGAGATCATAGCTCAGTTTTTTAAGAAAGTACCTTGTCAAAGTCATCTCCACCCAAATGTGTATCACCAGAAGTTGACAGCACTTCAAACACTCCATCACCAACCTCCAGAACTGAAATGAAGTAGAAGGTCAGTCAAATTTCTTGCCAAAGAGCAACTGTGATTTCATTGTAAACAGTGATAAGTCAAAATCTTCCGAAATAGTTAAATAAATCATGCAGTATCTATTTGAAATAAACGGTATCGCTTACCTGACACATCAAAAGTACCACCTCCAAGGTCAAAAACCAAGATTGTCTCATTGTTCTTCTTCTCAAACCCATAGGCCAATGAAGCAGCAGTGGGTTCATTTATAATACGAAGAACCTCTAAACCAGCAATACGACCAGCATCTTTTGTAGCTGTTCTTTGAGAGTCATTGAAGTATGCGGGCACGGTGACAACAGCTTTAGTCACTTTGTCATTCAAAAACTTTGAAGCATCATCCACAAGCTTTCTCAAAACCTAAATCAGAAACAAAGTTATAATGAAAAGAAATAAGAGATTGACAATACTGATGAAACAAGGTAAAACAATTAGCATTTGGCAACTGACCACTAATTGGAAAAAGATTACCAGAACAGAGAGCTGATTCTAATGAACTAAGACCAGATAACGATAATTGACAAGAAATTTGGACCCAAAAAAAAAATGCTACACGGCTAAGGCTCAGTTTGGATTTGCTTAGAGGGCCTCTAAAATCAGTTTCAAAGTTATTCTGGAAGCTAGTCTGTCAATTCAACAATGAACAATAAATGGTCCAACCGTCCAAGAATTAGAATCTCCAACGAACTAAAAAAAAAGCATAAAGCAGCAAATCACCATCAAAATTCTACATTTCGTCTTCAATTCAGCATTAGAATAATTAAGAGCGAATAATTCAATCAAAATTTCCAAAGAACTAAACCAACAAAAAAGCAACAAAATTACCATCAAAATTCAAAAGTCAATATTTTTCGTTCAATCTCAGCAGTGAAAGAACCAAACTTTAATTATCCTAAAGAGAATTAGATATATATATATATATACCTGAGCCGAAATTTCTTCGGCGGCGAACTGTTTGCCAATGGCAGGGCAATCAAGCTTGACGTTGCCATTCTCGTCCCTAACAACTCTGTAGGAGACCTGCTTGGACTCCTCGTCGACCTCCGACATCTTCCTTCCGATGAACCTCTTGACGGAGAAGAAGGTGTTCTCGGGGTTAACGACGGCCTGTCTCTTGGCGATCTGACCGACAAGTCTGTCCCCGTTCTTTGTGTAAGCCACCACCGACGGCGTCGTCCTCTGTCCCTCGGCGTTGGTGACTATCGTCGGCTTGCCGCCCTCCATAGCCCCGACCGCCGAGTTCGTCGTCCCCAAATCGATCCCCACAACCTTCTCGCTCACCACCCGAAGGGGTCCCACTCTCCTGATGCCGTTGGTCCCCGTCCTCAGGAACGCCGAGCAAGGAAACGACGCCGTACTCCCAAGCCTCTGACCAAGGAAGACCGTCCTAGGGTTTCTGAAATTGTGCTTCCTGAAGGAAGAAGAGCCTGGTGCTACGCCGAGCACGTTTATCTGAGCTGTGGAGGAAGCCATTGGAAATGATTATTGAAGAATTGGAACTGGCAAAACCCTAACCCTAATTTGGAGAAGCCGAAGAAGAAGAAGTTTTGAGTTGTTTGGTGTGTGGTGAAAGAGTACTGAAGGGGATAAGAGGAGGAAGGTGGGAGAGAAAATAATAAAAGGGTTTTTGGGGAGACGCAGACAGAGAGAGATAGAGAGAGAGAGGGTTAGGTGAAGCCACGTGTACAGATTCTGGAACAATTGCTAGTTCGATTATTTTGATGATGATCATGAGGGCCAATCACTGCCGTCCAATTTGATGACTCGTTTTGCAATGGCGGGTGGTGGAAAGTTCGAGGTGGTTCGGTTCTCTTGAATGGGCTGAAAGAGATAGAGAAGGCTGGAATGGTTTAGAAGCTTGTGAATGTGGACACAGCCCAATTGACTGTCTTTTGGTTCTTGTCGGCCCATAATTTTAAACTTTTCTTTTCTTTTTTTAGGATATGGTCCTTTTCTTTTTTTAGGATATGGTCCTATCAGATAATTTATTTAAATTAATTAATTTGTATTTAACTTATGGATAAATGACACTGTTGCCCCTTGAATTATTGCGTCTGTAACTAAATGCCCCCTGAACTTTTAAAATTACAAAATTTCCTCTTGAACAATCAGCAGTTAGCGCGATTTTTTCTTTTCCCCCTTTTCGATTAAATTTTGAACGTTAAGTGTCACGGGATGGCTTGTGACTCTCATTTTAAGGGTAAAAATGTAATTTATTGTGTTGAGTTAGAAATATGGCAAAATACATTTGAATTTTTGACGACTTGATTCTTGATTTCCGGCGACTTAGTTCTCGGTTTCTAACGACATGGTTCTCAATTTTTTAGCCACTGATCGAAAAAAATTGAGTGTTATTTTTCGGTTTCTAGCGACTTGATTGGAACATTCTATTAGATGAACGTTATTTCACAAAATCGTAAGGATTTTTCAGTGTTATTTTTTTTCAAATATTGGTCTGATTTACATGGTTAGTTACGCATAAATATACAAGCTTAAGAACTCCAATAAATTCGAAGTAACTAATCAAGTCCTCCGTCAGTTACGAAGATTTAATGCATATTTTTAGAAATCAAACGCTAAAATGGATTGCATGAACAGAATGTTCTTTTTCTTTTCTTTTTGTTTTTTTTTAAAGGAAACAGAATGTTCTTAAACAAACACAACAATTTGTTCCTATCAATTCAAATTGAAAATTTGATAGATCACTAGAGTAAGTTAGGTTGCACCCTGTTTTTTTTTGTTTTTTTTTGTTTTTTTTTTTTTTTTTTGCTTCTTAAAATGACAGTACCATATATTGTTTTTTGTTTGAAAATAATACTTTTCTTTTAACTTTATTTGATTCATAGATTCAGAATCATGATTCAAAATTATTTTCGATTTACGTGTATTTTTTATAAGAAAAAATATTGTATCAAACCATAAATTATAATCCGAATCATGACACGAATCCTTAAACCAAACGCACTATATATATTTTTCTGGGTTAATGGAATTGTACTTTGCTCCATGTTATTTCCGGAAGTTTAGAAGACATTGAAAGGACATGTCGTTTATTTGAAAACGACTTGTAGATCTTTTTACGCAAGTACCATAAAATATTTGATGACGCGTTAATAGCTAAAACCGGAAAGGATTGCAGAATCCAGCATAAGAAACTGAATGTCGTTTTGTTAAAGTATAAACAACAGAAAACGCCACCGTTTGAAGTAAACGACATAGAACTTTAATTCGAAACAATATTATGTCCTTTTCTCAAGGACAAACCTTTGAAAGAAACACAACAATAAGTTTATCTCATATTGTTGAGCGTGTGAAGTATAATTATTAACCGAACGTACTAACATACACATATTTATTTCAGGAACATCACACTTGTATTTTCGGTTGTCCTAATTTACCTTGTATTGGACGGCTCCGATTTTAGGTTTGAAAAAGAGATTAACATATGTCTGAGGAGTGTACCACAGTTGGGGGAAAAAAATTAAACCAACTAGAGAACTTTCTTTGAGAAATTTAACGGTGAGCTGGTGTTCATTTATAAGATTAAATTCACCCTTTCATGAGTTTCATAAATTCCTACTCTGAAATGAAGCACTCATATTTATTATTATTATTTTTAAAAAAAAAAAACTCATCACTGACAGTTATTAATTTTTTTTAAAAAAATTATGATTTTAAAAAAAACTCATCACTGACAGTTATTAATTTTTTTTAAAAAAATTATGACAAAATCTTTACCCTTTTGTCACAAATTCCTTCTGAGGAAGTGCTCTCCAACCAATATCTCGCCTGTAAAACCCACCAGGCCAGTTAATTTGTTCAACAGCTTGGTATGCTCTGTCCCTTGCCTCTTCAAGGTCTTTCCCTTGGGCAGTGACCCCAAGAACACGCCCTCCGGTTGCTACAAAGTTGCCCTCCGAGTCTAGGGCAGTCCCGGCATGAAATACCTTGACAGAAGGAGCAACGTGCTCAGCTTCCTCAAGATTCCGAATGACGGTTCCCTTCTCGTAGGAACCCGGGTACCCTTTGCTTGCCATTACCACCACCATGGCTGACCCCGGAGACCAGCTTAGGGACACCTCACTTAGCTCTCCTCTACAAGCTGCAAGCAAAACTTGTGCTAGATCAGACTCCAACCGAACCATCAACACCTGTTAATACATTCATCACAGGTTAGCAAGCTTCAAAAGTTAGATTTTTGGACAAAGAAAATCTTATTGAAATCTTATTAAAGATACCAACAATCAATATATAACTTCTATGATGGATCTTATAAGTCTATTAAGGGGAGTCGTTCACCGACCTGACACTCAGGATCTCCAAATCGGACATTGTATTCAATTAGTTTCGGTAAGCCAGACTTCTTCTCAATCATGAGACCAGCATACAGAACCCCAACAAACTTGCAGCCCTCAGCTGACATTCCTTTCACTGTTGGGAGAATTATGGACTTCATCACCAAATCTTGAAGCTCTTTTGTCAAGACGGGTGCTGGGGAGTACGCTCCCATGCCACCAGTATTAGGCCCCGTATCGTCATCCCCGACTCGTTTGTGATCCTGAGCAGATTCCAAAGGAATAGCATTCTCCCCATCCACTAATGCGAAAAAGGACGCCTCTTCTCCTTCCAAATATTCCTCAACAATCACACGGCAACCTGCTGAACCAAAAACCCTTTCGACAAGCATTGTATCAACGGCTTTGTATGCCTCCTCCAAGGTCGTAGCCACAATAACTCCTTTTCCTGCAGCCAGACCATCTGCTTTAATAACTATTGGCGCCCCTTGTTCTTGTATATACTGCTTTGCAGCAGCCGAGTCTGTGAATGTTCGATACTGCATCAAATCAAAACAAATGTTTCACATAATGATAAAACAAAGAATAATAATGCATCTATTGTTGTTATTTAAAGATTCTAGACACCAACTAATATGGGAATCGCTCTGTTAAAATAGAATTGGGAAATAGCATTCTAATCAGTTACGCATATTGATAAAACAAGGAATAATAATGCATCTATTGTTGTTATTTAAAGACTCTAGACACCAACTAATATGGGAATCGCTCTGTTAAAATGGAATTGGGAAATAGCATTCTAATCAGTTACGCATATTCTATGTTAATACTTTAATACAAATTGACAAATGACGAGTAATTATCAAGTCCTTTAGTATTAAGCTCGAAAGCTTTTGAGTTCCAATTTATTAACCAAATTATAAATAACACTAACATGGGAGTTGGTTTGTTAAGATACAATTGAGAACCAACATTAAGTTAATTATGCATATTTTGTATCAATAACAACTAAAAATTAATAACTCAATTGTAAGTTTTTCCCCTTTGGCCTCAAAAACTTAAAAATTGGAAAACAAAAACGTTGTGAAGCTCAAAGCTTTGTCTTTATATGATTGGTGAAACAAACCTTAGCAGTGGGAATTCTGTACTTATCACAGATACTCTTCATGAAATTCTTCGAGCCCTCCAAAGCAGCAGCCTCCGATGTGGGTCCAAAAGCAGGGATTCCAGCCTCACTCAAGTCATTCACAAGGCCCGAGACCAGAGGGGCCTCCGGTCCTACTACGACGAGTCCCACATTCCACTTGTGGCAGAATGAGACGACAGCTGAGCTATTGGAGATATCGAGATCAGAAATACATGTGGCGTCGCCAGAGTCAGAAATGCCAGCATTTCCAGGCGCACAGAAAACGGCGTCACAAGAGGGGGACCGCTTTAGCGCATGGCAGAGTGCGTGCTCTCTCCCCCCTCCACCGATCACCAGAACCACCACTCTTTCTCCTTCAACATTATCAAGAAAACAAACATAAAAAGAGAAACCAAAACAAGATCAAAGTAAAGGGTTTTTTATTTTTCTCTTTTTCTTTATAAGTCAAAGTAAAGGTTTTTCTCTGAGGACGAAGAAGGTTGTAATAAGTTGTTACCGGAATCTGACGACTCCGATTTTTTGGCAAAGCAATTGAAGTTGGGGATTAATCTTGAGCCGTTGAGATGGTAAGAATTGGGAGGAGACTGAAACCGGAGGGCGGATATGGAGCGGAGTGGGGGTTGAAAGAGGCGCGATTTGGAGCAGCTCAAAAGAGTGTGATGAGCAATGTTGGTGTGGTGGAGTCTAAGATTGGCGATGCCATTGAGACTGAAGGTGGCACATGCCATTTTATCTGCACACCTTAAAAGGGTCCTCCGATTTTCAGAAATGGAAGCTCTGAGTTTGCTTAAGATCTATTTCCATAGAAACCATTATAGATTCAGTAATAAAGAAACAGAGCAAAGCTTTCAAACAACTACAATCAGAAGAAAAATGAACACATTCATAGCATTATCATTGCAAATTACAAAACTTAACCAATAAATAAGACAATAAAAACACTGCATTAGTTCTGCAGGCATTTGAACAAACACCAAGCAGACAGTTAACACATAACTGTAATCAAAGACCACTTTCAATCGCCAAAACCAATGAAATCAGCATTAGACTAAAACTAAAACTTTTCTAGGAATTTCAACAAACACCTGATAGACAGTGCACAAACACTCTTTATGACAACAAAATGTTTCTCAGTGCGTCCATAACTGAAAAAATGATTGTAATTTATACTCAATTCCTCACAACCGTTACAAAAGGAAGTTGGGTTTAACAATTCTTAAAACACAATATGCTAAAAAAAACTTTGAAATCCACAGAAGCAACCTTCAAAACCCATAATTTTTTTATGAAAAAACTCACACTTGGTGAAAAATAAAACAGACAACAACTGCAAAAAAGAAAAAAGAAAAAAGAAAAAAGAAAAACAACCTTAGTTATGAAGCTCTGGTTGGTATGCGTCAAAACAAAAAGGGGTTGTCGTTCTTCAAATGCTCCTTCGAAAACAATACGGAACACAGACGCTAGGAAGGAATAAAAGCAAAAACAACCCAAACAGACACGGCGTCGTTTCACTTAAACCAACAATTCTCCCTTTCTTTTTATTTTTTTATTTTTTTATTTTTACGTTTAACAATTCTCATTTTTGGTTACGAGGTTAACGATAGTAAAGAAAAAAATCCCTGAAAAAAAAACTAGAAATATTAAGGCCTAATATTAAGGCCTATATACTGTGTTATTTATCTTTCCCTTCTTCGTTGCACATATCAAGATTTATCATATTAAACAACAATGAATTCAAAAAAGAAAAAAGAAGAAGAAAGAGTTGAGAGATCGTACCAAGAAAGAGTTAGAACTTCAGACTCAAAATATGCTAACTTTACACCAATTCCTTTGGAATTTGATTCTCAAATGTAAGTGATTAACGCTCTATTTATTTAAAGTGTAAAGAGACAACAATCAAAATCCTACCCTTTATTGAAATTTGAGAGTTGAAACTTGAAACCGTGCTCTCAACTCAAGTTCAGACTCAAAATATGCTAACTTTATACCAATTCCTTTGGAATTTGATTCTCAAATGTAAGTGATTAACGCTCTATTTATTTTAAGTGTAAAGAGACAACAATCAAAATCCTATCCTTTATTGAAATTTGAGAGTTGAAACTTGAAACCGTGCTCTCAACTCAAAAGCTGTGTGCTGCCACCCTTTGTTTTACGCTAGCAGTAAATTCTAAGAAATACCTCCCCTGTTTTTCAAAGATACCGTTCATCCAGATTTTTTATGGTAATATACGATAAAAAATTATAAAAAAGTTAAATAAATTTAAGAGACGATTGGTTCATAGATTAGAATTATAAAATTATAATTATTTTTTATTTATGTGTATTTTTTGTGAGAGAAAACACTGTAGCGAATTACGAACCATGATTCGAATCGGAATACGAATCCCTCAACCAAACAACTCCTTAGTTTTAAGAGTACATCAGTTTAACTTTTTATTTTTTTATTTTTAATTAATATTCTTTTCACTAATCTAGTTCTTTTAACTAAATAGTATTAATCAAGAGTAATAAGTGAAAATTTAGAGTCGTAAATTTTAAAGAGTATATATCTTTTTTTTGTAAATATATAAAATATTCTATCGGTAGGGTTAATCTTTGTTAGGTTATATATCTTTACATATCCTTTTTTGTTTTGATACAATTTTTGCCAAAATTTAACATATTTATGTGTGAGAAAATTTCAATAAATTAAATACACATTAATTCTATGTCGTTTTAAAGGGAAGATATATATTTGACTCGTATAATATCTGAAAAAATATGTAAAAATTTAATAGATGCTAAATGAGTATCTGAACAATGCACTGGATAGGTGTTTTTCTTTTACTTTTTATCTTATATAAGAATTTTAAAAAATAAAAATAAAGAAGAAAGAAAACTCCTCTAGTCTTTTTCACATTTGGGCCGTGAAACAAAGATGCTTATTGCGGATCCAATATGCTTTGGTTACAAGGGGCGGCAATTTGTATGGTGTCGTGTTCGTATCAGATTAAGGGTCAATATTTATAAAAATACCTCAACTTTAACACGATTTGTGACATTTATTTTTGTGTTAATCATGTCAGTATATTAACGACTCAATTAATAATTGTGCGATTCAAAATCTATTTATCTCGTATCGTGTCTAAAATTGTCGGCCTTAGAACAAACTAGTGTTACTCTTTTTTTTTTCCCTCACATGCCCTTTTTTACCATATTCAAGAAAAACAGAAAAAGAAAAGAGATGGAGATACGGAAAAGGAATAGAATAATTTGTGGTCTTAAATAATGCAATCTGAGTAACTCTTATTTCATAAAGCAGGTGAAAGTACACCTTGAGCCGAATTCAGTTTGTATTCTCTCCACACAAAGACAAGAAACAGAAGAAGCAAAACACAAGCAGTTTCTTAAAAGCTAGCTGGTTTCAATGTGTTTGCAATGTCAATAACAAATCGGTATCTGACGTCTGCCTTGAGAAGTCTCTCCATTGCAGTGTTGACATAGTCCATTGGAATAACTTCAACCTCAGCCGTTATGTTGTGTTTTGCAGCAAAATCAATCATCTCTTGTGTTTCCTTCATCCCTCCAATGCCACTTCCAGCCACTATCTTCCTTCCTGCATGTCAATTCCAATCAAAATTATAAAATATATATATATATATATATATTAGTATATACAACACATAAATGAAAATGCAGTCTCTATACAAATTACTATTATCTCATTTTACTTACCCATAATAGATTAAGTTTTAGATTTAAGACGTCATCGCTTCTTTTTTCAGAGAATTCTTTGGCAGATATTTTCATCAAATTCTATCTGTTTACTATATATTTTCTTTTTGATATGATAAAATATGATATGATGTAACATTCAGAAGTACATATTACTAATAGGAATACACTACTATAGAATGACTATTTTCCTTTCACTATCAAACATACGTACCCATCAACAAAGGAAAGATTGGTAGCTCAAGTGGTTTCTCCGGAGCACCAACCATGACCAACTTTCCATGGGGCTTCAACAAACAAATCAAAGGCAAAAGTGGATGCACTGCAGAAACTGTGTCAATGATACCATCCATTGTGCCCATGGCAGCCTTAGACAATAAAAAAGATTAACAAACACAATTAGGTCATGATTTTAATCAACCACATAATTATTAATGCATTCCAAGTAATTAATTACTATGTCTACACACCTTCATTTCATCTTGGTCACGGCTGACCAAAAATGAATCAGCACCAAGATGTTCAATAGCTTCCTTCTTCTTGTTAGGAGAGGTACTAATCACGGTAACCTTAACCCCCATAGCCTTGGCAAATTTCACTGCCACATGGCCAAGTCCACCTAGGCCAACTATGCCAACATGAAGACCTGGCTTGTCTAGGCCGAAATACTTCAAGGGGCTATAAACTGTGATCCCGGCGCACAGGAGAGGGGCTCCAGCATCAAGAGGTAGGTTGTCCGGAATGCGAACGATAAAGTGCTCGTCGGCTACCATCACGTCGGAGTAGCCTCCATAGGTGGTTGTGCCATCATAGTAAGTAACGCCGTAGGTGAGGATCATTTTAGAGCAGTAATTCTCGAGGTCATTAGCACAGCTTTCGCAAGAGCGGCAAGCTCCTACCATGCAGCCAACACCCACTTTGTCGCCCACTTTGAACTTTTGCACTTTGCTTCCCACCTCTGTCACCACGCCAACAATTTCATGCCTACAAAAGGTTTTTGATTGATAAGAAATAATATGAAAATTTATCCAAAGTTAATAAGAATCTGAAGCTTCAAACTTATGCATCGTACTATTAAGATCGTACAACATAAGTACAGGGAAATTCAAAAGTTCTATGAAATAGGATACTTTCACTAATCAATACCTTCAAAGTTATGAGTTTTATAATCTGTGTTGTAGATTATAAAGAGATCTAGAGTGAGAAAAAAAGAAAAAAGAAGAAGGGCTTCGTTTGTCAAATTGTCATATAAAAAGTTAAAAGGGCTTTATTCGAGGTTGACGGTATATAATATATATGACACAATTTTTAGGTCCCGTTTACTTCGCTGATTCGAGTTTAGAATTCGAGTTTTTCTACAGTAAAAAGCTCTCACAAACAATCACATCTAACTCTTTTGCTACAGTAAAAAGCTCTCATATAAAATCACATCTCAACTCAAATTATAAACTCAAATCAGCGAAGTGAACGAGACTGTCTTCCTTTTTTTTTTTTTTTAATGTCTAGGAAGTCCCTCATTCACAAGTCAACCATTGTAAGGTCGTTAAAAACGTGCGATCACCTTCTAATATTTTATGTACTTGGTCATTGATCATACGCAACTGTTATATATAAATATTATTATACAAGTAATGTAATAAAATACCTTTTAAAAAAAATCTAGTGACAACCTTAATTAGCTATTCTTCATTTTTTTTTTTGAATTTCTAGATAATTCCAGAATATTGGCAATTTTGCCTCCACAATCAACAACTAAATTTAATCTATTTCTGGACCTTTTAAGTTAAGCAATTACAAAAATAAATGAATCTTGATCGATCTTCTTGTTATCAACCAATGAAGAAAAATAGAACATACCCAGGAACGAGAGGATAGGTAGAATTGCCCCATTCATTCTTAATCATGTGAAGGTCCGAGTGACAAATCCCACAATACAACACTTTGAAGGCAACATCTTTCTCTCCAGTTTCCCTGCAACCAAACAGCAAGAAACAAACCGAAATTTAGATTTTGTAAGTGCAACTAAATTCACATCTTCATCAAGGCTTCCAATATGAATGATTAATAAGGGAAAAAGAAACTTTTTCTATGTTTAAAGATCAGATAAATCTTGAAAAATCTGGACTAGAAAGAGATTAACCAAGATCATCAATAAAGATTATAAGGGAAAAGAAAAATATATAAGAACCTTCGAGAGAAATGGAAAGGAGAGAGGAGACCAGAAGTATCCCTTGCTGCCCATCCAAAGGCCTTCTTGGGGTGCTCTTGTTCGTAACACTTCGCCATTTTCGCGAATATGATCTCTTACAAATTCAACCCAATATTATTGCTAATGCCAACAATAAGAGAGAGAGAAGAGAGAGAGAAAGAAGAGAGAGAGAGAGAGTTCAGTTTGTAAATGCATGGCCACTTGTGTGTGTGTGTGTACTGTATATATATTGTATTGATGACGTATTTGCTGAGCAAATTATGAAAGGAGGGACAATGGAAACCACATTTATATTGTGCTACTTGCTATGTATAATATTGGTGACGCATTGGCTGAACCAATTGGGGACAAGAAAAACGACAAAAAGTATTTCTTGGCGACAATGAATAAAGAAAAAGAACTTGCGAGCGTGACGGGTGACTGGTTTCTCCATCGTTGTCCAAACTTTTGGTTGACTCCCCCGCAAAAAAGGTATTTCTTCATCGTTTTTGAATAATTTTAAGGAGTTTAAACATACTTAAATTATAATTTTTTATTCTCACATTAATTTAAAATTTAAATTTTTTTTATGAGAAAAAAATATTATAAAAAAATTAATAATTTAAATTTGAATATATAAAATAAACGATTCTTTTTTAACTTATACACTTTTCCATTGGAATGAGTCTCAAATGCAAGTGAAATTGTACCACCGGATTAACTAACGGGATTTACAAAGTTTGCCGACTTCAATTTAGCATTATTAGATTAGACTGGAAGTTGGTCAAGATTCGTTGTGGGTTAGAAAATAATTAGGGCTCGTTCACTTCGCAGATTTGAGTTTTCAATTCGAACTGAGATGTGACATTTTTAAAGAACTTTTCACTGTAGCAGAAAAAGTTAGATGTGACATTTTTTGAGAACTTTTTACTGTAGAAATTTAAAACTGAAAACTCAAATCGGTGAAATGAACAAAGTCTTAATATATGTGCTACTTGGAATCTTTTAATAGTAAAAATGTGATATTCATAGTCGGTGGAGAAGACTAAAAAATAAGGACTTTACATGGGATCCGACAAAGATTAGTGAATTATTTGATGATGGTCATTATGCTATTATATTCCAATAAAGAGTGTTGCTAGAATGCACGGCTTCCCCCAAATAATCTCAGAGTAAGCTGGTGGAGTGTTGCTAGATTGCTAGAATATTACACTTTCAACCTTCAATATTTACAAGTTCCAACATTCAAATTCGCAATTTACCCTATTATTCTCACTGCACACATAAAAGAATCGTTTTATACATAGAATGATTGCGAATTGGAGAAGACAAATGAATTTTCTGGGAAATTTACTGGATTATGTTAGATAAAGTGATACTTTTTCCACTTTCTGAGAAGAAACTAATCACACTTGATCATACCCGTTTGTTACCACCAGGAGAGCAAGCAGGAAATTGATTCTCAGTCAACTTTTTGTCCTCCTTTAATTTGTTTTGCTTTGTTTCTTTTAGCAACGGAAATCCCTTTGCAGTTTACACTATACACCTTGCTAGGGAGTTTGCCACAAAATTTTGTGTCAAAGTTGAAACTTACAAGTAGACAGCTGATAACTCTATGAAAACAGAGTTATTTTTACCAATTTTTTGTAATTAAATTAGCTAAGTCGTTGAGATTTTACTTGTTTTTAGTTTAATTTTGTGTTTAGTTTATTTTAGCTTAATTTTATTTTATTTTATTTTATTTTAGTGTAATTTCACTTTATTTTACTTAGTTTAGTAATAATTTTATTTTGTTGTCCCCTCTACAAGATTATTAATTTTTTTTTTTTCTCATTTGCGTAATTAATTTGGTTGCAGGGGGTTAAAGTGCAAAAGTTGGAGTAAAATGGGGTAAAAAAGATAAGAAAAATTAAAATTTGCCTATGAAGTCTACGACCCAGCAGCGCGCGAGTAAAGAAAAGGCTTAAGTTCTCCATATCAGCCGTCGAATGAGCCATCAAAGGCTCAGATTACGCGCGTGCTCATCGAAGGTGGTAACTATCAGCCTTTTAAGAGGCTCAGATTGCGCGCGTGCTCATCAGAGGTGGTAACCTCGCGTTTCTAATAGTCCCCATCAGCTCTTCCCATTATCTTGCGTCGCCACGTGTCCGCTTGCAAAGGAAGTGCGCTCCAACTGGCTGAAACCGAAGAAAGAAAGAAAGAGTCCGCTCATTTCACATATAAAGAAAAAAGACAAATTTCTGCTCACAAATTAAATAAATTAAACACAATTTTTGTGGGAATGATCCTCTGCGCACTCTTTATTATTTGTTATAATTGCGCTCACTTGCAGATTTCAAGGACCATAGTATGAGCCACAAAGAAAAAAGACACATTCACATTAAAATGCTTGGGACCAAGGACTTTAAATTTAAGGATATTTGGACTTATTACAAATATAAATTAAAAGAAAACACAATGAACAAAAGAAGAGAAGGCATAGAATAATTTGTTGTCTCAAATACTGTAATCTCATATATGAGCAACTTATTTAATAAAGCTCGTGAAAATACAACTTGAATCGATCGAATTTAGTTTGAATTATTTCCGAAAAATACAATGAACAAAAGAAGCAAAACAAGTTTCTTAAGAGCTAGCTGTTGATGGCTTCAATGTGTTTGCAATGTCAATAACAAATCGGTATCTGACATCTGCCTTCAGAAGTCGCTCCATTGCAGTGTTTACATAATCCATTGGAATAACTTCAACCTCAGCCCTTATATTGTGTTTTGCAGCAAAATCAATCATCTCCTGTGTTTCCTTCATCCCTCCATTGCAACTTCCACCCACTATTTTCCTTCCTGCAATGCATTTTATTCCAATCAACTTTGTAAGGGATTAATCAAGTTTTGGATTTATATGGAGAATTCATTGATAGATATTTCACCAAATTATGTTAGTTTCGTATATGTTTTTCCTTCGATGCGATAAACTTGATGTGATCCAACGTTCAGAATGATAGAGCTACACTAAAATAGGAGGATACATTTCTTAACTACTTTACCAACATATATACGTACCCATCAACAATGGAAAAACCGGTAGCTCAAGTGGTTTCTCCGGAGCACCAACCATGACCAACTTTCCATGGGGCTTCAACAAACCAATCAAAGGCAAAAGAGGATGCACTGCAGAAACTGTGTCAATGATACCATCCATTGTGCCCATGGCAGCCTTAGACAATCAAAAAGATTAACAAACACAATTAGGTCATGATTTTAATCAACCACATAATTATTAATGCATTCAAAGTAATTAATTACTATGTCTACACACCTTCATTTCATCTTGGTCACGGCTGACCAAAAATGAATCAGCACCAAGATGTTCAATAGCTTCCTTCTTCTTGTTAGGAGAGGTACTAATCACAGTGACCTTAACCCCCATAGCCTTGGCAAATTTCACTGCCACATGGCCAAGCCCGCCTAGGCCAACTATGCCAACATGAAGACCTGGCTTGTCTAGGCCGAAATACTTCAAGGGGCTATAAACTGTGATCCCGGCGCACAGGAGAGGGGCTCCAGCATCAAGAGGTAGGTTGTCCGGAATGCGAACGATAAAGTGCTCGTCGGCTACCATCACATCGGAGTAGCCTCCGTAGGTGGTTGTGCCGTCGTAGTAGGTGGCGCTGTAGGTGAGGATCATCTTGGGGCAGTAATTCTCGAGGTCATTGGCGCAGCTTTCGCAAGAGCGGCAAGCTCCCACCATGCAGCCCACGCCCACTTTGTCGCCCACCTTGAACTTTTGCACTTTGCTTCCCACTTCTGTCACTACTCCAACAATTTCATGCCTGCAAAAGTTTTTTGATAGATAAGATACAATATATAAATTAGCGGAAGTTAATAAAGATCTAATAATTCACACTTATGTATTGTACTAATAAGATCCACATAAACTTACGTTTTTGATAGTTTTTTTATCTGTTTTGGAAGGTCGTCACTGAAATCTTAACCATTTGTGAGGTCCTTATAAATATACGGTATTTCTCAATATTTTATGTACCTGGTTATTCAGCATGCGTAACTTTTATATATTATGACATATGTAAGAATACCTTGAAAAATATAACGACAACTTTAGGTAATTAACCATTAGATTTAATTTCTGCATCTTTTAAGTTAAACAATTACAAAAATAAATGAATCTTTTAAGTTATCAATCAATGAAGAAAAATAGAACATACCCAGGAACGAGAGGATAGGTAGAATTGCCCCATTCATTCTTAACCATGTGAAGGTCCGAGTGACATATCCCACAATACAAAACCTTAAACGTAACATCTTTCTCTCCAGTTTCTCTGCAACCAAACAGCAAGACACAACCCGAAATTTAGATTTCAGCAACAAAAAAAAAAAAAGAAAAAAAAGATCCTATACAATACCGTATATACTAATGCAATTAATTCACATCTTCATCAAGGTTTTCATGAATTAATAATTAAGGGAAAAATCATTTTCAACAAATAAAGGGATCGGTTAAATCTTGAAAAATCTGGACAAGAAAGAGATTAACCAAGATCATCAAGATTAATAGAAGGGAAAAGAATAAAATAAGAACCTTCGAGAGAAATGGAAAGGAGAGAGGAGACCAGAAGTATCCCTGGCTGCCCATCCAAAGGCCTTCTTGGGGTGCTCTTCTTCGCAACGCTTTGCCATTCTTGAATATGATCTCGTACAAATTCAACCCAATATTATTGCTAACAATAAGAGAGAGAGAGAGAGAGAGAGATCTATAGAGAGAATGAGAGGAGTTCAGTTTGCAAATTAATGCATGGCCACTTATGTGTATATATAGTGAGGAGTAAGGACGTAAACGGGGGCTTGGTGTAGTTTGCAAGTGACGTATCTGCTGAGCATATTAGGGGGGGAGGGACAATGTAAACCTGACGTGTTGGCTGAACAAAATTGAGGACGAGAAAAACAACCAAAAAAGATTTGCCGCAAAAAAGGACTTGTTAGCGTGACGGTGACACGTGCTTAGTTTTTGGTTGATTCTAGAGAATTTTTCTCCATCTTTCCCGAATAGTTCTAAGTTTACACTTTTTTTTTGGAATGAGTCTCAATGCAAGGTGAAACCTTGTTTAACTCAACCAACAATTATTTATTTATCTTAAACAAAAAGAAACTTTACACCAATTCCTTTAGAATTTGATTCTCAAATGTAAGTAAGTGATTAACGCTCTATTTATTTAAAGTGTAAAGAGACAACAATCAAAATCCTTCCCTTTATTGAAATTTGACAGTTGAAACTTGAAACCGTGCTCTCAACTCACTCAAAATTGTGTGCTGCCACCCTTTATTTTATGTAAGGGTGGTCATTCGTATCACGTGTCGTGTTCGTGTTATATTTTAATTGTTTCTTTTTGTAGTCAACCCGAACACGATCCGTGAAACGATTTTTTTAAAAAATCACAACACGAACACGATATGACCACTTAACGGGTTTACACGACACTGCACAAAAATGACATGTGACATGAAATTGACCCATGAATCTATGATTGATACGAAAATTATATACTTTTCTTTTATTTTTCACATATTAAAATTAACATAAAATTCATAACACGTTAAAATACAATAACTTCTATCAAAACTAAGCAAATAATAGTATAAGATTTTGAGTATAACTATCATGATATCATAAGTTTATAATAAAATAAAAAATATGTAATAAATATATATATTTTAGTGTTTACGAGTTTCGTGTCGTGTTCGAGTTAAGCGGGTCTAACCTGAAAGTGACTCGTGTTTCTCGTGTCAATTTCAGGTTGACCTAATTCTGACCCGAACATCTTTTTTCTCAACCCTAACTCGTGAAATTCGTACCATTTTCGAGTAACGTTGCCGTATCGTGACCCATATTGTCGGCCATAGTTTTATGCTGGTAGTAAATTCCAAGAAATACCCCCCTTGTTTTTCTAAAAGACACTGTTCATTCAGATTTTTCATGGTAAGATAAGATAAGAAAATATAAAAAAAAAAAATACTTAACTTACTTTTAAAAAAGTCTAAATTTTTACTTTTTATTCTTAATTAATATCTTTTCATTAATGTAGTTCTTTGACTAAAATGTATAAATCAAGAGTAAGTGATAAAAATTTAAGAGTCATAAATTTTAAAAGGTATTTATTTGATCTTTTTCTTATAAATATATAAAATATTCTATCTGTAGGGTTAATCTTTGTTAGGTTATATTACTTTTCATTTACTTTTTTGTTTAGCAATATTTTTACTTTTTACAAAGCATGAGACTAATCCAAATAAAATTATAGGAATCTATATAGAATTACAAGTCAGTAAAAGTAATGTTGTTAAATCCAACTGAATGGAGCCATGGAGGTATCTGTCAACATTGTCGGTCAACTATAACGGCTAAAACCAAATACAACAAGAGTGGTTACTATTTTTCTCATGGGTAGGCTCCAAACTTTAATGCTATTAATGGGTCCGTTCACTTCGCTGATTCGAGTTTGTAATTCGAGTTGAGATGTGATTTTGTGTGAGAGCTTTTTACTGTAGTAAAAAAGTTAGATGTGACTGTTTCTGAGAGCTTTTTACTGTAGCAAAACTCGAATTCTAAATTCGAATCGGCGAAATGAACGGGGCCAAACTTCTATTAAATTATTGATTGCATAGAAGACAAAAAAATTAAATTTGATAAAATTGAGGCATAATTAATGTTCAATCCGATTTTATTAATGTGGCTGCCGACGTTGTTTATAATGTCTTGGCCAGCATTGATGATCCAAATACGACAAGTTTGAGGTCTAAACCCGCCAATGAACTTTTTTCCTGAAATTATCCAATGATCTTTGATCAACTCATCTGTTTAATCATTTATCTAAAAATTAACAAAAAAAAAAAAAAAACCTCAATTATTGCAAATCCAAAACCCGATCAGATTACGTTTTTCGCTCCAAACTCAGTACGATCCTCTGCAACACCTCTGTTTAATCATTTATCTAAAAATTAACAAAAAAAAAAAAAAAACTCAATTATTATAAAATAATAATAATAATAATAATATATGGAAAGGTACAAGGTCATTATCCAAGCTTGACGGTATAATATAAGCCACAATTTTTAAACTCTTTTTTTTTTTTTTTGGTTGTGTCTAGGAAGTTCCTCACTCAAATGTCAACCATTGTGAGGTCGTTATAAATGGACGGTATATATTAATGTTTATAAACTTGTTCATTCTGTTAGTACATTTTTTGTATTGGCTTATTTTTGACAAATTGGTTGTACGATTGATTGGCATTGTAAATTGGTAGTTCTCTTAAAAAAAGTTTAGTTGTCATGTTTATTGGCTGCAAATAAAAGATCTTGATTGCTGAAAATCAAGAGTAGACTTTCTGGAGCATTATGGCTAGTTCTTCTAAGGAAAGAATTGTGGGAAATAATGGGAATGATTGTCTTCTTACTGTCATTGGGGCCGGTGACCTGATTTGTGGTGTGAATGGAGGAGATATTACCATGATTGAATGTGCTTATCGTGGATGATTGAGGGTTGTGATTTTGTGATGGTATATACAGTGGCATGAGGGTTTTGATGTGAAAGGAACTTGAGGTGAGGAATATGTACTGAATACAGAAAAAGTTGTGTGTGTTCATGTGAGTATGAGATTGTAATGTTAAGAGTCGCTTGATGTGTTGCGACGGATTGTGAGAACACTTTTGAATTGGTTATTCAGGAGAAGATTTCTTTGGTTTCGGGAGGAAACCGTCAAGTCGAGTGATGCTCGCTGATCAAGCTTTCTAAGGAGATTCTAGGCAATGGCGACATCGTCAAGGAGGGAGTCGTTGAGTGTGTAAGACCGTTCGATCCTTTGTAATCTTTTGAACTTAGTGGATTGATCATTGTCTGGGCGTGGCCCCGCAGAGTAGGTGTGTGTACCGAACTGCGATATCATTTTTTTGGTGTCCTTTACGTTTCTGCATTAGTTTCCTTCTTTATTGTTTTGCTGGTTTAATTTTAGATTTTCTATCACAAAAAGTGTTACAGTAAAGTGTTGCAACACCAGGATAAAAACGGACCTAACAATTGGTATCAGAGCGGTTTACTAACCCTTTGTTTGGTGAGATTTTGGGAGTTAGTTTGTTACAGCAGGGATGGATTTTTTTAGAGAAGGTGGTTCAGTTTCACGTCCTCATCTCCTCGATGGCTGCAATTACTCTTAGTGGAAAGCTTGTATGAAGGCGTTCATCAAAGCACTTGATAAGAAAGCGTGGCGTGCTGTGTTGATTGGTTGGACGCACCCCGTTACCAAAAATGATGCTGGAGAAGAAGCTATGAAATCCGAAGAGAAATGGTCTACTGAAGAAGATCGATTGGCGAATAGCAATTCAAGAGCTCTTAATGCCATCTTCAACGGAGTGGATGCCAATCAATTCAAGCTCATTTCTACATGTGAGACGGCTAAGGAGGCTTGGGAAATTCTACAAACGGCACATGAGGGCACGACAGCCATGAGACTATCAAAGCTTCAAATTCTCACTACTAGGTTTGAAAACTTACGCATGCTTGAAGATGAAACAATTTCTGATTTCAATTCAAAATTGTGTGATATTGCTAATGAGACATTTGCCCTTGGAGAGAAAATATCAGAGGAGAAGCCTGTGAGGAAGGTCTTGAGGTCTCTTCCACGGAGGTTTGCTTATAAGGCGACAGTTATTGAGGAAGCCAAGGATATCCAAACAATGAAACTTGATGAGCTAATGGGTTCTTTGCGCACTTTTGAGATAAATTTGGATGAAAACAAGGAAAGAAAGAAGGAGAAAAGTATTACTTTTCAAGCCGAAGTTGATTATGATGATGAAGAAGACTTGGCCCAGTCCATAACAAAGTTCTCAAAGAAATTCAACAAGGTGATGAAGAAGGTCAATAGGAAGAATGAGAATTCAAAAAATGGCAATTTTAGCAACTTTCAAAAGAGTAAATCTGCAACAAATAACACAGAATTGAAGACAAAAAATAGAGGTATTCAATGCCGAGAGTGCGACGGTTACGGCCACATTCAATCCGAGTGTGCCAACACCCTCAAGAAGAAGAAGAAGTCGTTTAATGCAACATAGAGTGATGAAGACTCTGAAGGTAGTCAGGAGGATGAAGACCATGTGAGTAACTATGTTGCTTTCAATGTTTATACTGATCAAAGTGTTTATGCAGACAGTGTTACAAAAGGTGTCGCAGACAGTGTTGCAACACTGCCTGTAACAGATTTTGTGAACAGTGAAAACGGAGGAGATTTTTCAGATTCTGAAAGTAACAATGATGGTGAAGAGTTGACTATTGATGCCATACAAGAATCCTATAAGACCATGTTCAGCAAATGGGTTAAAGTGTGTGAAATGAATAAGTCTCTACGGGAGCGAGTTGATGAGCTTGTTAAAGAGAAGGATGTGCTTAAGAAGGCTGCCGTTAACTATGAATTTCAAGTTACTGAAAATGAGAAAAAGCTACAGGACACAAGGGCTGAACTAGAGAGCACTCAGAAAAATTTAAAGATGATGAATTCCGACACCACTAAATTGGATCATCTTCTCTCTATAGGAAAAGCAAGTTGTGATCGTCATGGACTTGGCTACACCGGTGAATGTTCAACGTCCAAAATAGTATTTGTGAAGGAGACACCCGCTCCTGAACCTCGGACAACCCTCAGTAAGAAGGTTATTATTTTACCCCCTCAACGTAAAAGATTTGTTCTCATATGTCATTACTTCAGT